GCGGGGACCCGACGGGGGGGCCGCGGAGCCGCTGCTTGGAGCCTGCGGGGCAGACACCGGCCTTGCTGCGCCTGTCCCGGCCCGGGATCCCCCGCAGCCTGCCCACCACGAGGCAGGGCGGGCTGCTGTCATGGAGCGGGGAACCACGCCCCTTGGGGGTGACGCTTCTCCAGCGCGAGGGGGCACATACTACCAAGCATGCAAGAAATTGCAGCCCCCCCCCCAAGGCTGCTGGGGGAGCAGATAGGGGACACCCCATGACGTCACTGCACCCTAAACAACCTTCGCCCCACCCCCGTTGCCCAATCAACCCCATTGCCACGTTAGGGTGACCCTGTCCCCGCTCCCCCCGCAGCAGCCCCTGTCCCTCTGGTGTGGCCCCAAGCCCTCCGCCCCCCAGCCCGGCTCGGCCGGCGCTCACCGGGACCCCCCGGGCCCTGGAAATGGGCCATGGCGGGGCAGGCAGTGGTCGCGCTGCCTTGTGGGTATGAATGACAATGAGCGCCGGGGTCTTGGCTCCTGAGACCCCAGATGCCCGCGGAGGCTGCGGACTCGCTCTGGACCCAGATTGGCCTCCCCCAGGAACCCTGCGTGCTGATTAGCTGAGCTAATACTCTCCTCCAATTAGCAGCGAGGCTTCCGGCGCATGCGCAGTGGTGGTGGGTGAAGCCGTGCCTGCCACGACTGCAGGGGGGCCGGGATAGGTGCAAAGGGGCATCTGGGGGCGGGGCAGTGATGTCAGAGGTTCCCCCGAGCTAGCGTGGGCCCCTGGTGTAATGATGTCAGAAGTTGTAGTAGCCAGGCACCTACACAATGACGTCACTGCGAGTTACGGAGAGGGGTCGGCACCGTTTGAACGTGACCTCAGCAGCTAATTATGGAAGAGTCCAGGTTCCACTGTGACGTCAGGAACTATAAATAGCCCCGCCTTGGGGGGTAGCTGTGATGTTTCCCTGGCCCCCCACCCCTACGAATGCCGCGAAACCACGCCCCTTTATCTCAAGCCACGCCCCTT